ATGGGAATAAAATGGGGGAAAAATGGGGGAAAAATGGAAATAAAATGGGAATAAAATGGGAATAAAATGGGGAAAAAATGGGGAAAAAATGGAAATAAAATGGAGAAAAAATGGGAATAAAATGGGAATAAAATGGGGAAAAAATGGGGAAAATAAGGGGAAAAATGGGGAAAAAATGGAGGGAAAATTGGGAAAAAATGGGGGGAAAGTGCGAAAAAAATGGGAATAAAATAGGAATAAAATGGGGAAAAAATGGGAATAAAATGGGGTAAAATTGGAAGAAAAGTGGGGAAAAAATGGGGGGAAACTGGGAATAAAATCGGGGAAAAGTGGGGTAAAAAATGGGGGAAAAAATGGGGAAAATAAGGGAAAAAATGGGGAAAAAATGGGAATAAAATGGGGAAAAATTTGGGGGAAAATGGGGAAAAAATGGGGGAAAAATGGAAATAAAATGGAGAAAAAATGGGAATAAAATGGGAATAAAATGGGGGAAAAATGGGGGAAAAATGGGGGGAAAATGGAAATAAAATGGAGAAAAAATGGAAATAAAATGGGGGAAAAGTGGGGGAAAAATGGGGAAAAATGGGGAAAAAATGGGAATAAAATGGGGGAAAATTTGGGATAAAATGGGAATAAAACGGAAAAAAATTGGGGAAAAAATGGGGGAAAAATGGGGGAAAAATGGGAATAAAATGGGGGAAAAGTGGGGGAAAAAATGGGGGAAAAATGGGGAAAATAAGGGAAAAAATGGGGAAAAAATGGGAATAAAATGGGAATAAAATGGGGGAAAAATGGGGGAAAAATGGAAATAAAATGGGAATAAAATGGGAATAAAATGGGGAAAAAATGGGGAAAATAAGGGGAAAAATGGGGAAAAAATGGAGGGAAAATTGGGAAAAAATGGGGGGAAAGTGCGAAAAAAATGGGAATAAAATAGGAATAAAATGGGGAAAAAATGGGAATAAAATGGGGTAAAATTGGAAGAAAAGTGGGGAAAAAATGGGGGGAAACTGGGAATAAAATCGGGGAAAAGTGGGGTAAAAAATGGGGGAAAAAATGGGGAAAATAAGGGAAAAAATGGGGAAAAAATGGGAATAAAATGGGGAAAAATTTGGGGGAAAATGGGGAAAAAATGGGGGAAAAATGGAAATAAAATGGAGAAAAAATGGGAATAAAATGGGAATAAAATGGGGGAAAAATGGGGGAAAAATGGGGGGAAAATGGAAATAAAATGGAGAAAAAATGGAAATAAAATGGGGGAAAAGTGGGGGAAAAATGGGGAAAAATGGGGAAAAAATGGGAATAAAATGGGGGAAAATTTGGGATAAAATGGGAATAAAACGGAAAAAAATTGGGGAAAAAATGGGGGAAAAATGGGGGAAAAATGGGAATGAAATGGGGGAAAAGTGGGGGAAAAAATGGGGGAAAAATGGGGAAAAAATTGGGAAAAAATGGGGGAAAAATGGGGAAAATAAGGGAAAAAATGGGGAAAAAATGGGAATAAAATGGGAATAAAATGGGGGAAAAATGGGGGAAAAATGGGGAAAAAATGGGGAAAAAATGGGGAAAATTGGGAATAAAATGGGGGAAAAATTGGGGGGAAAATGGAAATAAAATGGAGAAAAAATGGGAATAAAATGGGAATAAAATGGGGAAAAAATGGGGAAAAAATGGGGAAAATAAGGGGAAAAATGGGGGAAAAATGGGAATAAAATGGGAATAAAATGGGAATAAAATGGGGGAAAAATGGAATAAAATGGGGAAAAAGTGGGAATAAAATGGGGAAAAATGGGAAAAAAAGAGGAAAAAATGGGAAAAAAATGAGGAAAAAATGGGAAAAAAATGGGGGAAAAATGGGAATAAAATGGGAATAAAATGGGAATAAAATGGGGAAAAAATGGGAAAAAAATGGGGGAAAATGGGAAAAAAATGAGGAAAAATGGGAATAAAATGGGAATAAAATGGGGAAAAAATGGTGGAAAAGTGGAAATAAAATGGAGAAAAAATGGGAATAAAATGGGAAAAACTGGGAATAAAATGGGGAAAAAAATGGGAATAAAATGGGGAAAAATGGGAATAAAATGGGGAAAAAATGGGAATAAAATGGGGAAAAATGGGAATAAATTGGGAAAAAATGGGAATAAAATGGGAATAAAATGGGGAAAAATGGGGGAAAAGTGGGGGAAAAATGGGAATAAAATGGGAATAAAATGGGGGAAAAGTAGGAATGAAATGGGGAAAAGTGGGGAAAAAATGGGGGAAAAATGGGGAAAAAATGGGGATAAAATGGGGAAAAATGGGAAGAAAATGGGAATAAAATGGAGAAAAATTTGGGATGAAATGGGGGAAAAATGGGAATTAAATGGGAATTAAATGGGGGAAAAATGGGGGAAAAATGGAGAAAAATGTGGGAATTTTAGGGGAAAAATCCTGGAATTTTAGGGGAAAAATCCTGGAATTTTAGGGGAAAAATCCTGGAATTTTAGGGGAAAAATCCTGGAATTTTAAGAGAAAAATGCTGGAATTTTAGGGGGAAAATCCTGGAATTTTAGGGGAAAAATCCTGGAATTTTAAGGGAAAAATCCTGGGAATTTCAGTTAAAAAATTCCATATTAAAACCAAAAAAAAATCTAGATTTTTACTAAAAAATGACAGAATTTTGCTAAAAATTCTCAAATTTTGGCAGAAAAATTCCAGGATTTTTTCCAATAAAATCTTGGAATTTTGCTCCATAAAATGTTGGAATTAAAACCAAAAAAAATCAAAATAAAATCGAAAAAAATTCAAATTTTAACCAAAAAACGTCGGAATTTCACCCAAAAAACCCCAAATTTTGTCAGAAAAACCTGGGAATTTTTTCCCTTTGGAATTCCATGGAAACTTTGGGAATTTTGCAGGTGTGGGTCCCGGGGCGAGCCGGGAATCGCTGCTTTCGGCCGTGGCCAGCGCTCTGCATAGCGGGAACGCGGGAATGGGACGAGAAAAATCCTGGAATTTTAAAGGGAAAAATGCTGGAATTTTAGGGGAAAAATCCTGGAATTTTAGGGGAAAAATCCTGGAATTTTAGGGGAAAAATCCTGGAATTTTAGGGGAAAAATCCTGGAATTTTAAGGGAAAAATGCTGGAATTTTAAGGGAAAAATCCTGGGAATTTCAGTTAAAAAATTCCATATTAAATCCCAAAAAAAAATCTAGATCTTTACCAAAAAATGACAGAATTTTGCTAAAAATTCTCAAATTTTTGGCAGAAAAATTCCAGGATTTTTTCCATTAAATTCTTGGAATTTTAAAAGGAAAAAACCCCAAAAAAATTCAAAATAAAATCGAAAAAAATCCAAATTTCAGCCAAAAAACGTCAGAATTTCACCCAAAAAATCCCAAATTTTGGCAGAAAAATTCCAGGATTTTTTCCAATAAAATCTTGGAATTTTGCTCCATAAAACGTTGGAATTAAAACCAAAAAAAATCAAAATAAAATCAAAAAAAATTCAAATTTTAACCAAAAAACGTCGGAATTTCACCAAAAAAATCCCAAATTTTGGCAGAAAAATTCCAGGATTTTTTGCATTAAATTCTTGGAATTTTAAGAGAAAAAAGCCCCAAAAAATTCAAAATTAAATCGAAAAAAATTCAAATTTCAGCCAAAAAACGTCGGAATTTCGCCAAAAAAACCCCAAATTTTGTCAGAAAAATTCCAGGATTTTTTCCAATAAATTCTTGGAATTTTAAGAGAAAAATTGTGGGAATTAAACCCTAAAAAATTCCAAATAAAATCAAAAAAAATTCAAATTTTAACCAAAAAACGTCGGAATTTCACCAAAAAAAATCCCAAATTTTGTCAGAAAAACCTGGGAATTTTTTCCCTTTGGAATTCCATGAAAACTTTGGGAATTTTGCAGGTGTGGGTCCCGGGGCGAGCCGGGAATCGCTGCTTTCGGCCGTGGCCAGCGCTCTCCATAGCGGGAACGCGGGAATGGGACGAGAAAAATCCTGGAATTTTAAAGGGAAAAATCCTGGAATTTTAGGGGAAAAATCCTGGAATTTTAAGAGAAAAATCCTGGAATTTTAGGGGAAAAATCCTGGAATTTTAGGGGAAAAATCCTGGAATTTTAGGGGAAAAATGCTGGAATTTTAGGGGAAAAATGCTGGAATTTTAAGGGAAAAATGCTGGAATTTTAAGGGAAAAATCCTGGAATTTTAGGGGAAAAATGCTGGAATTTTAGGGGGAAAATGCTGGAATTTTAGGGGAAAAATCCTGGAATTTTAGGGGAAAAATGCTGGAATTTTAGGGGAAAAATCCTGGGAATTTCAGTTAAAAAATTCCATATTAAATCCCAAAAAAAATCTGGATTTTTACCAAAAAATGACAGAATTTTGCTAAAAAATTCCCAAATTTTGGCTGAAGAATTCCAGGATTTTTTCCGTTAAATTCTTGAAATTTTAGGAGGAAAAAGCCCCCAAAAATTCCAAATTAAATCGAAAAAAATCCAAATTTCAGCCAAAAAACGTGGGAATTTCACCAAAAAAATCCCAAATTTTGGCAGAAAAATTCCAGGATTTTTTCCGTTAAAATCTTGGAATTTTAAGAGGAAAAAGCCCCAAAAAAATTCCAAATAAAATCGAAAAAAATTCAAATTTTAACCAAAAAATGTCGGAATTTCACCCAAAAAAATCCCAAATTTTGGCAGAAAAATTCCAGGATTTTTTCCATTAAATTCTTGGAATTTTAAGAGAAAAAACCCCAAAAAATTCAAAATAAAATCGAAAAAAATTCAAATTTTAACCAAAAAACCTCGGAATTTCGCCAAAAAAATCCCAATTTTGGCAGAAAAATTCCAGAATTTTTTCCCATAAATTCTTGGAATTTTATGAGAAAAAATTTTAGAATTTTAACTAAAAAAATTCAGAATAAAATGGAAAAAAATCCAAATTTTAACCAAAAAATGTGGGAATTTCACCCAAAAAAATCCCAAATTTTGGCAGAAAAATTCCAGGATTTTTTCACGTAAATTCTTGGAATTTTAAGAGAAAAAAACCCCCCAAAAAATTCAAAAAAAAATCGAAAAAAATCCAAATTTCAGCCAAAAAACGTCGGAATTTCACCCCAAAAAATCCCAATTTTGGCTGAAGAATTCCAGGATTTTTTCCGTTAAAATATTGGAATTTTAAGAGGAAAAACCCCAAAAAAATTCAAAATTAAAGCAAAAAAAATCCAAATTTTAAGGGAAAAAAATCAGAATTTTACCCAAAAAATCCCAAATTTTGGCAGAAAAATTCCAGGATTTTTTCCAATAAATTCTTGGAATTTTAAGAGAAAAATTGTGGGAATTAAACCCTAAAAAATTCAAAATAAAATCGAAAAAAATCCAAATTTCAGCCAAAAAACGTCAGAATTTCGCCAAAAAAAATCCCAAATTTTGTCAGAAAAACCTGGGAATTTTTTCCCTTTGGAATTCCATGAAAACTTTGGGAATTTTGCAGGTGTGGGTCCCGGGGCGAGCCGGGAATCGCTGCTTTCGGCCGTGGCCAGCGCTCTCCATAGCGGGAACGCGGGAATGGGACGAGAAAAATCCTGGAATTTTAAAGGGAAAAATGCTGGAATTTTAGGGGAAAAATCCTGGAATTTTAAGGGAAAAATCCCGGAACGAGCCGGGAATCGCTGACCATAGCGGAAACCCGGGAATGGGACGAGAAAAATCCTGGAATTTTAGGGGAAAAATGCTGGAATTTTAGGGGAAAAATCCTGGAATTTTAGGGGAAAAATCCTGGAATTTTAGGGGAAAAATGCTGGAATTTTAGGGGAAAAATCCTGGGAATTTCAGTTAAAAAATTCCATATTAAATCCCAAAAAAATCTGGATTTTTACCAAAAAATGACAGAATTTTGCTAAAAATTCTCAAATTTTTGGCAGAAAAATTCCAGGATTTTTTCCAATAAATTCTTGGAATTTTAAGAGGAAAAAGCCCCCAAAAATTCAAAATAAAATCGAAAAAAATTCAAATTTTAACCAAAAAATGTGGGAATTTCACCAAAAAAAATCCCAATTTTGGCTGAAGAATTCCAGGATTTTTTCCGTTAAATTCTTGAAATTTTAGGAGGAAAAAACCCCCAAAAATTCCAAATTAAATCGAAAAAAATTCAAATTTTAACCAAAAAACGTCAGAATTTCACCAAAAAAATCCCAAATTTTGGCAGAAAAATTCCAGGATTTTTTCTGTTAAATTCTTGGAATTTTAAAAGAAAAAAACCCCCAAAAAATTCCAAATAAAATCGAAAAAAATTCAAATTTTAACCAAAAAACGTCGGAATTTCACCAAAAAAAATCCCAAATTTTGGCAGAAAAATCTGGGATTTTTTCCGTTAAAATCTTGGAATTTTATGAGAAAAAAAACCCCCAAAAAATTCCAAATAAAATCGAAAAAAATTCAAATTTTAACCAAAAAACCTCGGAATTTCACCAAAAAAACCCCAAATTTTGTCAGAAAAACGTGGGAATTTTTTCCCTTTGGAATTCCATGAAAACTTTGGGAATTTTGCAGGTGTGGGTCCCGGGGCGAGCCGGGAATCGCTGCTTTCGGCCGTGGCCAGCGCTCTCCATAGCGGGAACGCGGGAATGGGACGAGAAAAATCCTGGAATTTTAGGGGAAAAATCCTGGAATTTTAGGGGAAAAATCCTGGGAATTTTAGGGGAAAAATGCTGGAATTTTAGGGGAAAAATGCTGGAATTTTAGGGGAAAAATGCTGGAATTTTAGGGGAAAAATCCTGGAATTTTAAGGGAAAAATCCTGGAATTTTAGGGGAAAAATCCTGGAATTTTAGGGGAAAAATTCCATATTAAATCCCAAAAAAATCTGGATTTTTACCAAAAAATGACAGAATTTTGCTAAAAATTCTCAAATTTTTGGCAGAAAAATTCCAGGATTTTTTTCCAATAATTTCTTTGAATTTTAAGAGAAAAAAGCCCCCAAAAATTCAAAATAAAATCGAAAAAAATCCAAATTTCAGCCAAAAAATGCCAGAATTTCACCAAAAAAATCCCAAATTTTGGCAGAAAAATTCCAGGATTTTTTCTGTTAAATTCTTGGAATTTTAAAAGAAAAAAAACCCCAAAAAATTCAAAATAAAATCGAAAAAAATTCAAATTTTAACCAAAAAACCTCGGAATTTCGCCCAAAAAAATCCCAAATTTTGTCAGAAAAATTCTAGGATTTTTTCCCATAAATTCTTAGAATTTTATGAGAAAAAATGTGGGAATTAAACCCCAAAAAACTCCAAATTAAATGGAAAAAAAATCCAAATTTTAGCCAAAAAACGTCGGAATTTCACCCAAAAAAATCCCAAATTTTGGCAGAAAAATTCCAGGATTTTTTCCATTAAAATCTTGGAATTTTATGAGAAAAAATTTTGGAATTTTAACTAAAAAAATTCCAAATAAAATCAAAAAAAATTCAAATTTTAACCAAAAAATGTCAGAATTTCACCAAAAAAAATCCCAATTTTGGCAGAAAAATTCCAGGATTTTTTCCAATAAAATCTTGGAATTTTATGAGAAAAAATTTTGGAATTTTAACTAAAAAAATACAGAATAAAATCGAAAAAAATTCAAATTTTAACCAAAAAATGTGGGAATTTTGCCAAAAAAAATCCCAAATTTTGGCAGAAAAATTCCAGGATTTTTTCCGTTAAAATCTTGGAATTTTATGAGAAAAAAAACCCCCAAAAAATTCCAAATAAAATCGAAAAAAATTCAAATTTTAACCAAAAAACCTCGGAATTTCACCAAAAAAAACCCCAAATTTTGTCAGAAAAACGTGGGAATTTTTTCCCTTTGGAATTCCATGGAAACTTTGGGAATTTTGCAGGTGTGGGTCCCGGGGCGAGCCGGGAATCGCTGCTTTCGGCCGTGGCCAGCGCTCTGCACTCGGGTTCCGCTCCCATCACGGGCCAGAATTCCCTGGCCGTGGAGAAAAATCCCGGGATTTGGTTGAACACGGCTCAGCCGCTCTGCCGCGCCTTCGTGGTCACCGACGACGACATCCGGTGAGAAAAAATTGCAGGTTTTTATTCAAAAATTGTCTTTTTTTTACTCAAAAATACTCATTTTTTACACACAAAAATACTCATTTTTTTACACAAAAAATTCCCATTTTTTTACACAAAAATTCCCATTTTATTCCTCAAAAATTCCCATTTTTTCCCCCAAAATTCCCATTTTTTTACTTAAAAATTCCCATTTTTTCTCCCAAAAATTCCCATTTTTTACTCAAAAATTCCCATATTTTTACTCAAAAAAATCCCATTTTTTCCTCTAAAAGTCTCATTTTTTTCACACAAAAAATTCTATTTTTTCTCCCAAAAATTCACATTTTTTCGCACAAAAATTCCCATTTTTTTCCATAAAAAATTCACATTTTTCCCCCCAAAATCCCCATTATTCCCCCCAAAATCCCCATTATTCCCCCCAGCAATCCCCATTTCTCTCTCCCAACCATTCCCATGATTTCCCATCCCAATTCCCATCTTTGGCTGGGAAAATTCCCGTTTTTCCGTGCCCCAATCCCGGGATTTGGTTGAACACGGCTCAGCCGCTCTGCCGCGCCTTCCTGGGCACCGACGACGACATCCGGTGAGAAAAAATTGCACTTTTTAACACAAAAATTCACTTTTTTTTACATAAAAATTGCCTTTTTTTTCCATAAAAAATTCCAATTTTTTTACACAAAAATTCCCATTTTTTTACTCAAAAATTCCCATTTTTTCCTCTAAAAATCCCATTTTTTACACACAAAATTCACATTTTTTACACAAAAATTTCACATTTTTTCGTGCAAAAATTCCCATTTTTTTACTCAAAAATTCCCTTTTATTACTCAAAAATTTCCCATTTTTTCTCACAAAAATTCCCATTTTTTCACACAAAAATTCCCATTTTTTACTAAAAAATTCACATTTTTTTCCATAAAAAATCTCAATTTTTTTACACAAAAATTCCCATTTTTCACACAAAAATTCCCATTTTTTCACAAAAAAATTCTGATTTTTTACTCAAAAATTCCCATTTTTTCCCCCAAAATTGCCATTTTTTTACTCAAAAATTCCCATTTTTTACCCAAAAAATTCCCATATTTTTACTCAAAAAATTCCCATTTTTTCCTCTAAAAATCTCATTTTTTTCACACAAAAAATTCTATTTTTTCACTCAAAAATTCACATTTTTTACACAAAAATTGCCTTTTTTTTTGTGCAAAAATTCCCATTTTTTTCCATAAAAAATCCATTTTTTTCCATAAAAATTCCCATTTTTTCCTCTAAAAATCCCATTTTTTTCACACAAAAAATCCCATTTTTTCACACAAAAATTCCCATTTTTTCACACAAAAATTCCCATTTTTTTACCCAAAAATTCCCATTTTTTCACACAAAAATTCCCATTTTTACACACAAAAATTCCCATTTTTTCTCCCCAAAAATTCCCATTTTTACACAAAATTTCCCATTTTTTCACACAAAAATTCCCATTTTTTTACCCAAAAATTCCCATTTTTTCACACAAAAATTCCCATTTTTTCACACAAAAATTCCCATTTTTTCACACAAAAATTCCCATTTTTACACAAAAATTCGCATTTTTTTCACACAAAAATTCCCTTTTTTTTGTGCAAAAATTCCTGTTTTTACACACAAAAATACCCATTTTTTCACACAAAAATTCCCATTTTTTTACTCAAAAATTCACTTTTTTTTACACAAAAATCCCCATTTTTCACACAAAAATTCCCATTTTTATTTCTAAAAATTTCCATTTCTTACTCAAAAATTCCATATTTTTTTCTCCCAAAAATCCCCATTTTTCCCCCCAAAATCCCCATTATTTCCCCCCCAAAATCCCCATTATTTCCCCCAAAATCCCCATTATTTCCCCCCAAAATCCCCATTATTTCCCCCAAAATCCCCATTATTTCCCCCAAAATCCCCATTATCTCTCTCCCAACCATTCCCATGATTTCCCATCCCAATTCCCATCTTTGGCTGGGAAAATTCCCGTTTTTCCGTGCCCCAATCCCGGGATTTGGTTGAACACGGCTCAGCCGCTCTGCCGCGCCTTCCTGGGCACCGACGGCCACATCCGGTGAGAAAAAATTGCACTTTTTAACACAAAAATTCACTTTTTTTTTCACAAAAATTCACTTTTTTTTTCATTAAAATTGCCTTTTTTTTTCTGCAAAAATTCCCATTTTTTTCACAAAAAAATTCCGATTTTTTACCCAAAAATTCCCATTTTTTCTCCCCAAAAATTCCCATTTTTACACAAAATTTCCCATTTTTCACACAAAAATTCCCTTTTTTTTACTCAAAAATTCCCATTTTTCACACAAAAATTCCCATTTTTTCACACAAAAATTCCCATTTTTTTACACAAAAATTCCCATTTTTTACTCAAAAAATTCCCATATTTTTACTCAAAAAAATCCCATTTTTTCCTCTAAAAATCTCATTTTTCACACAAAAATAATTCCCATTTTTCACACAAAAATTAACATTTTTTCACACAAAAATTCCCATTTTTTTCACACAAAAATTCCCATTTTTTAATGTAAAAATTCCCATTTTTCACACAAAAATTCCCATTTTTTTTTCTAAAAATTTCCATTTCTTACTCAAAAATTCCCCATTTTTTTACACAAAAATTCCCATTTTTTCACACAAAAATTCCCATATTTTTACTCAAAAAAATCCCATTTTTTCCTCTAAAAATCTCATTTTTTCACACAAAAAATTCTATTTTTTCACACAAAAATTCCCATTTTTTTACTCAAAAATTCCCATTTTTCACACAAAAATTCCCATTTTTTACTCAAAAAATTCCCATATTTTTACTCAAAAAAATCCCATTTTTTCCTCTAAAAATCTCATTTTTTTCACACAAAAAATTCTATTTTTTCTCCCAAAAATTCACATTTTTTCACACAAAAATTCCCATTATTCCCCCCAAAATCCCCATTATTTCCCCAAAATCCCCATTATTTCCCCCAAAATCCCCATTATTTCCCCCAGCAATCCCCATTTCTCTCTCCCAACCATTCCCATGATTTCCCATCCCAATTCCCATCTTTGGCTGGGAAAATTCCCGTTTTTCCGTGCCCCAATCCCGGGATTTGGTTGAACACGGCTCAGCCGCTCTGCCGCGCCTTCGTGGTCACCGACGACGACATCCGGTGAGAAAAAATTGCACTTTTTAACACAAAAATTCACTTTTTTTTTCATAAAAATTGCCTTTTTTTTTCATTAAAATTGCCTTTTTTTTCTCCCAAAAATTCCCATTTTTTTCACAAAAAAATTCCGATTTTTTACCCAAAAATTCCCATTTTTACACAAAAATTCGCATTTTTTTCACATAAAAATTCCATTTTTTCTCCCAAAAATTCCCATTTTTTCACATAAAAATTCCCATTTTTTCACATAAAAATTCCCTTTTTTTACTCAAAAATTGCCATGTTTTCACACAAAAATTCACATTTTTTACTCAAAAATTCCCATTTTTTTCACACAAAAATTCACTTTTTTTACACAAAAATTCCCATTTTTTTCACAAAAAATTCAGATTTTTTACACAAAAATTCCCATTTTTACACAAAAATTCCCATTTTTACACAAAAATTCCCATTTTTCACACAAAAATTAACATTTTTTCACACAAAAATTCCCATTTTTTTCACACAAAAATTCCCATTTTTTAATGTAAAAATTCCCATTTTTCACACAAAAATTCCCATTTTTTTTTCTAAAAATTTCCATTTCTTACTCAAAAATTCCCCATTTTTTTACACAAAAATTCCCATTTTTTCACACAAAAATTCCCATATTTTTACTCAAAAAAATCCCATTTTTTCCTCTAAAAATCTCATTTTTTCACACAAAAAATTCTATTTTTTCACACAAAAATTCCCATTTTTTTACTCAAAAATTCCCATTTTTCACACAAAAATTCCCATTTTTTACACACTAAAATTCCCATTTTTTTCTCTCAAAAATTCCCATTTTTTACTCAAAAATTCCCATTTTTTTACACAAAAATCCCCATTTTTTTCACTCAAAATTCCCCATTTTTTCCATAAAAAATCCCCATTATTTCCCCCAAAATCCCCATTATTTCCCCAAAATCCCCATTATTTCCCCCAAAATCCCCATTATTTCCCCCAGCAATCCCCATTTCTCTCTCCCAACCATTCCCATGATTTCCCATCCCAATTCCCATCTTTGGCTGGGAAAATTCCCGTTTTTCCGTGCCCCAATCCCGGGATTTGGTTGAACACGGCTCAGCCGCTCTGCCGCGCCTTCCTGGGCACCGACGACGACATCCGGTGAGAAAAAATTGCAGTTTTTAACACAAAAATTCACTTTTTTTTACTCAAAAATTGCCTTTTTTTTCATAAAAGTTGCCTTTTTTTTCTCCCAAAAATTCCCATTTTTTTACTCAAAAAATCCCATTTTTTTACTCAAAAATTCCCATTTTTTACACAAAAATTCGCATTTTTTACACAAAAATTCGCATTTTTTTACTCAAAAATTCACTTTTTTTCACACAAAAATCCCCATTTTCTCCCCCAAAATTCCCATTTTTTCACACAAAAATTCACTTTTTTTACACAAAAATTTGCATTTTTTTCACACAAAAATTCCTATTTTTTTACTCAAAAATTCACATTTTTTACTCAAAAATTCCCATTTTTTCCTCTAAAAATCCCATTTTTTTCACACAAAAAATCCCATTTTTTTACTCAAAAATTCCCATTTTTTTACTCAAAAATTCACATTTTTCACACAAAAATTCCATTTTTTCAAGCAAAAATTCCCGTTTTTTCCATAAAAAACCCCATTTTTTTCACAAAAATTCCCATTATTTCACACAAAAATTCACATTTTTTTCACACAAAAATTCTCTTTTTTTTCATACAAAAATTCCCATTTTTCACACAAAAATTCCGATTTTTTTACTCAAAACCTCATTTTTTTATCTCCCAAAAATTCCCATTTTTTAC